CTTCAACTCATAAGGAACCCAAGTTCCTTACTTCTGAATCATTCCCAACGCATGCAATCGCTTGGAAATAGCTTGGCGGGTAACTCCTAATACTGAAGCAAGCTCTTCTTGCGTTTGGCACGGATCCTCATCGAGCAATGCCTCCAATTCAGCGTCTTCGAAGGTTTTTGGCCTTCCTTCACGCGGACGGTCGTCAACATCGAAATCACCGTCTTTGAAGCGACGGAACCAATCTCGGCACGTTGTTTCACTTAGAGCAGTATCTCCGTAAACTTTTTGGAGCTCTCTATGCGCTTCAGCCGCCGTTTTCTTCGAATGAAAGAAGAAAATCAATACTTCCCGCATATGACGATTATTTGGCATAAAATCAGACATTTTCACACAACTAAAAGAATATGACGTAAAAACAAAATCACTAACGTTTCAAAGCGGTTTGTTTACCATATGTCTAAGCTTGGTTCATGACGTTTAGGTTATGTCAGAATCGATCAGCACTTACTGCTGGAGCCATCTGTTGACAAACAGCGGGAACTTAATAATATACCTTGTTGTGCACCTAATAATATACCTATATAAATTATTTTATATAATTTTGTTTCAAGTTTTTTCGTTCGTTATGATCTTTCGAATACCTTCGAATTGAGCTATGTTCTCCAAAATTGACATAAGCTATGTGCTGAAATCATAAGTCCGTATTCAGAACACGCTTACAACGATGTAGCGTTCTAACATGCTATAATTAACGTTACGTATACTATAGAATTTTAGAGATAAAAGTGCGTTCTGAATACGGGTCATAGACTTATAAGATAGAGAATTCCGTTCATACGAGAGAAGCTGAAACTGACAATATTGACTTAGTTTTCACCGAGGGTTTGAACCAGATCAAAATGTAAGAACCAACCAACTACAATCGAGTATTCCTCTGTTACTAGGCCATAGTTGTTTCTCTCTTTCACAAGAGCATTGGATGGGGACCAATCAGCTTGAGCGTAAAACCACAACTCTCGAACATCTATCTTCGTTGCTCTCAGCCACTTCTCAGCCTGCCGTGGCGATCAATCAATTCACTATTAGAAAAGAAGAGAATTATTCCGCGACTGTTTCTTTCTCTTTCTATCAAGTCTTCAACTTCTCTCGTACGAATGCTCCGTCTATCTTATAAAAGTCTATGAATTTAAGGGTACCGTGTAAACGCGGTCAGATTCAGACTGATTCAGAATTCAGATTTCCGGACTCGCTTCCCGCTTTCTCGATCTCTCTGGGGAATTTTTGTTTCGCGAATGGAGTTTATGCTCCCCCCTTAACTCGATCGACTATTCTATGCTACTAGCGAGTCTTGCCGCCTCCGTTGACTATTTTCGATTCTGGCCGTATCAACTCAACTTGTAGTCGGCCACTCTATCAAGACAATAATAATAGAATTCAGATTTCTAGCAGAAAATGCGATCTTATTTTGTTCAGTGAACTATTATAGGGAAATGAAATTTGTAATATTTTCTATGATTACACGGAATTTTGAAACACATTCTCTCGCTGGAGAGTAATGTTTTTAAACAAAATATTCTTACATAACATTAACTATTCATCGCAGTCGATATTTATCAATAGCATCTCTCGCTATGACAGATAACATTAATGTAATTTCAAGACCGAAAGTTAGATTTTGTCAATTTTCCGACAATACGCGAAACAAGATAGAGACTGTTGAAAATTCTAAACAACAATCTGATCTGCGAACAAGTGGTCTAAGAATCAAGGAAATAGTGACTCTTAAGAAACCCATCAGAATTGTAGATCCTAAAAAATTTGTAAATATTTGTGACAAAGATACATCTTCAAATAATATTGGCAGTTTATCACATTATTGTACTACATCTGGTAATGTTCGAAATATATCTTTGTCCAATAAAAATATGCCAAAAATCAAGAATACAATTCTGTGTGATGCAAATGGTATTCAAAATACAAAGAATAGTAGTAAAATGTTGCAAGGACAGAACAAGAGTTCGCAAGATGATGTTTTAAAAGACATCGCAAAGAATGTACGACAGAACGGAAAAGAAAATAAACTATTGAATAAGTCTGCATCTAATAAAAATGTAAGCGATATAACAACAGGAAACTTTCAACATAGTGTACAATCGGTTACTCGAAAGAAATTTAAACTTCCTATGGATAATGTTCATATACCAAAAGTAAATATTCAAGATTTTAAAACATCAAAAATGACAAAGCCGCAATCTGTGTCAAGCATTATTAAAAAAACAAGAAATTCAATGATCGAAGGGAGAATTTTTAATGCAAAACCAGTTTCGTCACATTACAAAACTATGACAAGAAATAAAATATCTCCAGTCAAAAAAATTGCATCACGTAACGTGTCAGGTCCTAAAATCAAAACATCAGTGGGATCAGTTTTTCGCAAGGAACAGGCTGATCCAAAAACAAGTGATACAAATGAAAGATGTATCGTTGCATTGGACAAGACTACTACGGTACAAGATTTAGCTCAACCAGAATACAACTCTATCATGTGTACTGTTAATAAGCTGAAAGAACTTGAACGGCAGAAAATTGTTGCAAACATCAATCATTTGCCATTTGCGCTAAAGAGTTTTCTAAATGGAAAGGTAAAACAAAAACTATAAAACACACACACACACATATTATTTGAAATCATCTTTTCGTTACAGATTTCTGCAGCACTTGATTTTCCATTGGATGAGACGCTTTATAAAAATTTGATAGATTTGAGTATAGATGAAAAACAATTGCCATCCACCATTACACGAAGTAAAGATCCAGAACCACGGCAAAAAGATATAGTACCGCAACTTTCTCACTTCTTCATACCCGAAGATATAAAGGAAATTTGTGAGGCTGTACATGTTAAACTTCGAGCATCAAAGATTGACGATAATTGGAACGCCTTTAAAATTAGCAACAGAATACTCGATTGGAAATATAGTATAGATGATATAGATTAGCGTTTATTTTTATAATTTTGTTCAATGAAATTGTTTAAATTTTAAACTGTAATAATAGTAATATCTACTAGCGTAATTAAAAAGTTAAAATAAAAAAAAATATCAACTGACAATACAATTACTTAATAAGAATACACAGAATACAAAGGCAATTTATTCAATATATATATATATATTAATATAGAATAAATTATTAGAGATATATTTCATCTAATTTATTGTTTATACTTAAAGAAATATCATACATTTAGTCTAATGAAAAATCATTTATTTACTCATGAAATGATATTTTTATTGATTTTCCATCAGAATCAAATTCTGATGGCATTGACACAGAATTATTGCCATAGTATCTACGTTGTAGATAAAGATAGATGCGACATAAATTGTAGTAGAGACATGTACCAGCCAGTATCATTCCAATTACAACTCCAGCTACGATTATCCTATTAAAATTTCATTAGATTGATGTTAACATCTAAAGTATGATGAATTTTCCAAATGTAAATGTACTATATATTTACATAGTAATCCATATATCATAGTCTTTGTAACTGCAGCATACATTTTCGTCGCAGCAATACTCTGATGATTCACACAAACCCCATACGCAGTAATGTGCAGTAGTCTGGAAATATATATACACAAAACAAAATACACACACACACACACACATACACACACACGGAAAGAATTTTCTCTTAAAATTTATCTTGAAGATATGATAGTTATGGAACAATATAATATATCAAAGATTTTTATGCCCTTCAGTCAAATTAATCAAACTTATTTTATATTTTATTGTACTTTTATTAGTGAATGTGAAAGATTTTCATAAAATTCTTCGAAATAAAAGGTCCCACGATTGTTATATTAGGTGTTGGAATTAATTCGTAGCGTTTTTTAATGAAAGAATGTTATTTATTTCACATGAGCATTAAAAAATACATTAATGAAAGTACTTCCCATCACTTGTAAAACGCTACGAATTAATTCCAACACCTAATATTTTCAGGATAAATTTTAAGAAAAAATGTGTTTACTGTGTATATATAGATAATAAATTTTCATTTTGATGAAAAAATTATAAATTAAGGTGTAAAAAATTTTGATGAGACATTAATTTTATCGACATTAACGTAAAACGGCAAACATATTAATAAAATGATATCCTCTTCCTTACAAATGTAAGAAACATTTTTACAAATGTTTGTGATATCAATAAAATATCAGAAAATTATAACCAAAGACATAGAATTAATGCGAAACATATAGATATTACCGATGAAATCGCGAAATTCCAAGTCAATATAAACAATATATTGTTTGACAGATACTCCATTGTACGTATGTACATACGTACCTACATATGTAACATCACGGAGGATGTTATACAAAGAAGGATATCAAAATGAAACATGGCTTCGGTAAACAGACGGAATGGAAAATCGGGACGATTCGATTTTAGTGCCGTTGTGCGGAAAAAGTTGGAAGTATATACTACATGATAACATGTACGAAATACACTTGCATGTATGTATGTTTTATTTTTAATGCAGAAATTCCAATTGGTATAAAATTTCCATTTTGTTTGATTAAAAAGTAATTATTGAAAAATACATATATACATGTATAGTCATAGATTATCATTTTTTAACTTACCGATATCAAAAAACTTTGAAATTAAAAAAAAAATGAAACGGGACTATTGTTCCTATTGTGTTTCCACAAACACTATTCTTTCATAAAGCTGTATACATATTAAAGTAGCGCAATCCTTTTACCTGAGCCATCAAATAATGCCGACAAATTTCCTATTGGCTATTTCGACTGCCATTTTTTCATTTTTGATCTAGTGGTTATAGTCCAATAAACGCTTATTATTAATATATTGGGTCATCTAAAAAGTATCCGCGGTTTTTTGTCACTAGATGGTGTTGACCATCAACACCATATAGTGACAAAAAACCGCGGATACTTTTTAGATGACCCATATAATATAGGCTGTGTTTAAAAATTGACTGTCAGTACTGAAAATCTATAATGCACATAACATAAACTGTAGCATTTTCAGTGGCAGTAGATTTGGAATACGATATAGTTAGTTTAAGTCCAAAATGGAGGATTTTTGCGCTACTTTGATATATATAGAGTTTTAAGCCGGAAACATAATGAAAAGTACAGGCACTGACAAGATACTATTGTATCAAAGACGATCGGGCGCTTATGGAATTTTACATGTCTGTTAAATTTAAGTGGTTAAGGCTCGGTTGCACCAATATTACTTTGATTTTAAGCGAAACTTTAAACTCTCTCTACCTCGTTTTAAAACCGAAAAGAGACAGGAACAAAAAGAGTTTTAAGCCTCGCTTAAAATTAAAGTAACGTTGGTGCAATTGGGCCTAAGAGTAAGAAACTAATAACGTGGAACTAATTTTATGATTTATTAATTTCATAGATATGTATATATGTTTAAGGCTTAATAATATCCGATTTTTATTAAAAAAATTGTCGTCGCTTGATGTCGTTATTGTCATCATCTAATGTCATCACCCAACGTCACTGAGCGCTTAGTGAATTCTTGCACCTGTTTGGTCTATTTTTGGATCTATTGGAATATGCCAATTAGATGCAAGAGTTCACTGAGCGCTCGGTGAACTTGGTTGTAATACTAGATGTATCCAGAAGCACGATCGCTCACTGAGCGCTCAATGAACTCTTGCATTTGATTGATATATTTTATTAGATCTAAAAATTGGTTTTACCAAACAGATAAAAGAGCTTACTGAGCAGTCGTGCTTCTGGATGCATTGAGTGCATTGAATGCACTCAATAAAGCTGTACAGCGCTTTTCCGAAGTCAGAAATCGCTCCTTTTCTGGACGGTATTCCAATCATAGTCTGATCTTTGATACGATTAACGCGATACTGCAAACGCTTTGAAATGTTTTTTAATTGGTTAGTTTGTAAGATTCTTTCTTCTAATCGATCCATCAAATGCTTTAAAATATTTGTAGCAATACTTTGACCACAGCCCTTATTTCAAGATTGTCTTAAGTAATATGTCTTGAGACGCTAACTTCGGACATACAATAGGTGTATATTTTAAGCTTTTAGCTGTAAGATATTGACCAACTATAGTCGAATACGAGGAGTAGTAATTGATTGTGGTTCGTCCATTTCTTATGGCTTAAAGCTTAAAAATTTATTGTAGATCCGGAATGAAGATGTTTGCAGACCCGATGTCCACGATGCTAGAAATCGGTCCGAGATTTCGGACAGAGAAAAAATTAACAAATCACATTTGAACATTTGGATCACATGACCATTGTGATTGGTCAATTCTTTCTTCATCCGAGGTCTCGGATCGTTTTTTAACATCGTGGACACAAGGCTTAATACGACCCTCTGATTGGTTCGTGACTTCTTAAGACTGTACTTAAGACGGTCTTAAATATAAGATCTGATTATGAATATCGGCACAGTAATCATTCTGTAGCTTTATAAAATTCAAATTTATAAGCGCCTTTCCAATCTACAACATGACGACGAGTCATGTGACCTGGGACCCACTAGTTCCATTACATCAAAGGTACTGACGCTCAATGTCCATACTGTATGTACTTATACTGTAATACCGGCCCGTGAGCCGTGACCGTTCGTTTGAGTTTGGTTTCCTTCTTTTTATTCCGTGTTCTCAAGTTTCTCTCTGCAATCATTTGCAATTGGTAACCTTGTTTGTCACGCTTTTTTTTTACTATGCGGGCGACATTAAAAATTATTTCCAGAAATTAACAGAATTCTTTTAAATTATGTTCGAAAGTGACGATTGGATTTTTGAAGTGAGTTTTTTAGTTATACGCGAATTAGAACTTATCTGGTTAATCTGTTTAATGTGCTTTCTCTTTGTTATTTTATCAACGCATAAACAGACAGACAACCGGTAGAGTTGGAATTTAACACATATCTCATATTACGTATGTATTATTACAGGATACTTTTGACGATGTTGGAGGAAAGGAGGAGGAAACGAAGAAGAAATCCTACTCTCCATGTCAAAACAAAGAAAAGACACAGTCCTTCAAACGACGTAAAGTGGACAGATGTGAGGTACTGGCACGTAATATCTTTAGTCAGAAATCAAAATTGGATAGTATAGCAAATATCCAAGATAACAATCTACCGTCCAAGAATAAGAACGATGTATCACGTGGAGATCTGTTGTTAGAAATTTTCCAGAAAAATACTTGTCGAGAGACAAGTGATCTTGCAAAAGAGGAAGATCCATCAAGGATACAAAAAGAGACGCAATGTTTTCAATCTGAAATGGTTGCAACATCAAAAGTATTCCAATATAAAGAGTCCACAGGAAAGAGCGACGAGTCTATGATTGCTAAAGTAAAATTCGATAAAGAAGTAAAATTGTTTAGACTATTTCCTGGACCAGCTGGCTTAGTATCGGATGTGAAAAATGATAACATCTCTGCTACATCTTATTTAAATAGTATTGAAGAATTGAAAAATAAAACGTCAATCAAACGTATTGAGATCAAATCCCAAGATGAGAGAAGCTTGTGTGGAGAGAAAGCTTGGAAACTTTTGTTGAATGACCTGCCAAATAATTTTTTACAGGATTATAAGATTTCTGTTGTTAAAGACAAAGCAAATGCTAATCATTGCGATAGTACGAGAGTAAAGTTTATAGCAGGTGTATTGGATTATGTAGATTATAGTCACGACGATCCATTTGTTATACTAAAAGATTCGTCGGGTAGCATAGAAGGTACTATCCATCGTGACATTCTATCAACTTATCCTGGCATATTAGAGCCGAATATAGTTATTTTTTTATGTGATGTAGGACTATTAAAAACTACGACATATGTAGTAACGAACAAATATCATATTCTAGTGTCTCTAGTAAATTTACTAGCTATATATTCGGATAAAGGCCGAATTATAAGTACACCTCTTATGGAAAGTGTTATATCTCATACTTTAAATAGTAAATTAAATAGAATTAACAATTGCATGTCAATTTCGGAGAAATCGGATTATATCTCTGGATTGCAAAAAATTGATAAAAGTTATAAGGCTCTTTTACAAACTAGCAGTTCTGTCGACAATCGAGAATCCATCAAGGATCACGAATCTGAATTAGCAAAAAATCTACTGTTACAACTGAAAAATCCGACAAATGGAAAGCATGAAAGTCATGCGGAAATTTTTAAAAATAAAGATAAAGATTGTAAAGTTACCAATGAAATATTTGAATATCTCGACCATTCAATGGATACGAATGATTTGGATATGGACGTTTTCTTTACTACCGACTGCAACTTTACAAGTTTGGAAGACCAGAATTGTTGTAATCATTTGCTACCAAGTATTTCGCAAACTAGCAAAATTCAGCGGTGCAACTCGCAAGTGCAAACTATCAAATACTTGGAAAATATGAAAAACAAATCGACAATAACTTATCCAAAGCAGACAAACAAGCAACACTTGCCACAAACTTTAAAGAGATTCACCGATGTAAAAACTTGCGACACACATTACTCGCGTGAAAATTGTTTCTCGTCTTGCAATGATGCATTATGTAAAGATTCGAATTTAAATGTGAAAGTCACATTGTCAGCAATAGAACGTAACGTCGAAAACTCAAAAACTCTGGTAAGCTATTTTACTGACGATAAGTATGACATGTATGATTCGGACGATGAGATTTTGTCACAGTTGGACGTAGATAACATCGTTGACAAACGAAAGGAAGACTGCTAAGAAACGTGTCTCTCTCTCTCTCTCTCTCTCTGTTTTTATCAACATAAATTAAATGTACATATAATGCGTCGTGCGAGATCGGTTTCAGATATCCACAATAATACTACCTAATCGCTAATGACATGTATAAAAAAAATTAATGTTAAGCAGTACGAACTTGAAGATAAAATGAGATTCGAATGAGCCGTTATTAAAATAGAATATACTATGATATGTGATATAAATGTTTGTACTCCTACTCCGAAGTTATTGCAGATAAAGCTGTTTGCGAGATCGTGCGCATTTGTGATATCTATATCTTATTGTCTCTCATTTGGGTTCATAAAACATTATCAGTCTAAAGTCGTGTCGTAAAATTAATATAGATCTCGATAACGAAGTAAGTCCTATACAATTCGATCAGTCATGCACACACTGTAGGAGAAAAAAATGATGCCAGCTATGCATTTGTAAAACTAATGATTTTACAACATTGTACATGTATATGCGCGAATATGATTATACGATTATATATAAAAGACGTGTATGTACATACATCTAATTGTATGTCTTTGTCGAAAACGGAACAAAGCGGCTGTGATTATATAATGTACGTAGATGTAATGACTATGCAAATGCGCACTACAATGTGATGCTACGACAGCATCATTTATGCCTGTTAGAGATTGTGTAATTGATTAAACACATTCACGGATATATTAAATAAAAAATGAGATGAAATCTCTTTGTCTTTTCCATTTTTTTCAGCTTATCCTAGATCTAGGCTATCTGCCCCACAAGAGACAGCAAGAAAGCGAACGTAGCTTAAACGTATCTATATATACGCATACACTTTAATATCGCTTTAATATCAATTTAATATATACACACACACTCACACACAGTCGTTTTACAACTCGACAAATTATGATTAATTCATAATTCTCTTCACAGGATTATCGGACGGTACGTCTCAAGGTCGATTCAATTGATACGCACTGCAGACACATACCTATATTATAACTATATAATACGTTGGCTTTCGATCTCACAGGCAAATTAGAGGAGAAATGATCGATACATCAAACTCTCACAAACTCTCTCGATAAATTTATAATAACTTAACTTATATTAGAGCACACAGCAATTAGATAAATTCGTCGTCGATACTTAAAATTTGTAAGTGGGATATTGGTATTGGTACTAAGTATACTTGCGTTGCAATTATAGATTACATTAATTGTTGTTTATTTCAACGAAGAAACAAGGTATATTAAAAATGAAGCAACGATGTACATCGAGGCACAAGCTTACCTTAAAGAGAACATGTATGTACATATATCTATATGTAAGTGAACGGATACTAATTACAATTAGTATCAACGCATGGTAAAATGTGGGGTAAGAGACCGTGGCACGCGAGATTAAAGGCTAAAATGCAAAACTGTAATAACGATCGTTTCCGTTTATATGTATGTAAGTACCAGGATTAGTCTCGCGATCCCACATATATTATTTGTTATTTTCATTTCCTTTTTTTCGCAACATCTTTTTTTGTAATATTATACATATATCAACGTCAAAATTTCGGACGTTCAACGAGACTTACTAACTTCGATTATAGCTAGCGGATTAGAAAGACTAATTATTGATTCTTTCCACAAACATATACGGGCCCCTTATAAGTATGTGGCGTAAAACGTATCAACTAAAATTATGTTTGCCTAATGGTGAGTTAGTTTCTTAACTTAATAATTGATCAATCGCATTATGGGCAAATGAAGCCTTTACGGGGAGCAAAGCTGTTGCAATTGATCAATCGATGAATAAATTTAAAAAACGCGTATTTTTACGATTGATCGCGGTCAAGTGTGGGCACTCGCGTGTGACGTGCACCGTCTATACAATACATGTATATGTATGTATGTATGTGTGTGTATATGTGTGTGTGTGTGTGTGTGTGTGTGTGTGTGTGTATATGCCGCGTGTAAGTCTTAATATGAAAAAAAATAAAAAAAGAAACCAACGACTCGTCCATCAATTACATATTGTTATGTCTATTTACGTAAGAAAATTGTTATTTCATTATAAGTGGCATTGGTTTACGTACGTATAGTTACATCAATGTGAACTACAACATACAATTATTTATATATATATATATAATCTCGGTTTTTCATTCGCAAAAATTAAGGCAATTGGTGCTCAGCTCTCTTTTTTTATTTTTATTTGTGGGTTCTTTTTCGAAGATATTTTCAGATTGTCTTCAAAGTAAGAATTATCACGACTACGCGCGAATATATGAGCACTTGTATAAACATAAAAACTTGTATTAACATAAATTCTTTCGTTGCTTATCACGCTCGATGACTCGTTTGCTATATTATAGGTATGCATACCGTTATCTTTTAATCAATTTTTTTGGTCGAGTACAAATCCTATATTGTACAAAACTGTTCTCGGTAGTGTAAGAAAAACAATATTATTCTAATTGTTGTAAAACATGTTGCTATTGCGAAAGTTTGTTGAAATCGCGGTGAGGAAATTTAGAATTGGTATATAATATATAATTCACACACTTTTTCTTTCTCTTACCGCAAGACCTGCAACAGGGCGAAGCAGTGTAGTGTGGAGCAGTGCAGTGCGGAGACCGGTCGAAGTGTCGAACCGCAAGCGCGTGGGGATCGATTCGACGAAGGTAACCGCGAATAACGCGCGCGATATACGAAAGAGCTGCGTCGCGTCGCGCCGCGCACCGCTCCGCTCCGTTCTGTTTCGTTCTTTTCCGGCCTGCATGCCATGGCCAGCGATAGACGTAAAATACGACCGTTTAGTTCAGTACGCTAATGCACTCCGTTGCATGTATGTATAGTGTAATGAGACGCAAGTCAGTGAGAAAAAACAACACGTCAAGAAATATTAATCATTGACTTTATACATATACGTCGTTTATGTAGGAAAATCGCTTCAGTTGCCATAATTACTACCTAGATATATACTACTACGTACGCGTATTATACATATAATTTTAGTTGCATTCTACACACATTCAAAGTTCATTCATTAACCTTGTGTGCTGCCAACGATAATTAAGTTCATAGCTTCCGCTTTCTGACACTTCATCGTTGATTGCCGTCGTATATTTCAAGCAATTTCGACGATAAAAAAACTCGTTCCCTCTCACGCGCGCGATAATGAGTGTTTCGTGCGTGCGCTCCATTATTTGCATTCTTAATATGAGTGTATAATATATTATACTAATATACTATACTCGGGCAGCAATTGCCTAATTGTCAGCATTCCCCATTTAACGAAAATTCGGCGGGTCGATTAATTCAAATTGACGCGAATGGGTGCGCATAGTATAGTGTGACCGCGCCTGCGTATCTCAACGAAATCGTCCACCGTTATCTTGCCGCCATTGAAGAAGCGAAAGAAAAGTTGAAGAAATTTCACAAATACTCGAAAAGCATCGCATTCGTATGTATTCTTATATCATTATTATTATTATTATTATTATTATTATTATTATTATTGTCATCGTCACCTATATGTATAATACATACGTATACATACCCATACAGCACAAAGCTCTGTTTAAATTCCCAGGGAGTTCATATTGCTGAGCTTCCAAGGAGCTTACAAAATTTGACTAAATAAGTCCCCAAGGAATTCATTTTGCTGAACTCTAGGGGAGCTTATAAAATTTAACAAAATGACCTTCCAGGAAGTTTATATTGCTGAGTTTCTAAGAATTTACAAAATGAGAACCAAAATGAAGCACCTAGAGAACTCACAAAAACGGACATAGGAGTTCCCCGAGAACTCCCCTGCAAGCAATTTGCTGTCTGGATATATTGTTAAAATTTTTATATTACCCTACATCATGAAATATTTGGGCGTGATGTATATATCGATAATAACGTGGAACGTTAAATAATCTTTAAATAAGCAACTTTGCATTTCGCAGGTGACATTACGACAAACAAAGAGAGAGAGAGAGAGAGAGAGAGGGGGGGGGAGAGAGAGTTACATTTAATGACAGACCACTGGGTCGTAACGAAAGGAGCTGTTGAAATTACGCAACAATTTCAAATCAAACAAGATCGAAATAATGACCGATGCCAATGGTAAGCATGAAAAATAAAAGGTGAAATAGAAATACGAAATATTTACTATATTACTGACAAATTATTGCACGAATAATATACATCATATTTTGTATTCTAATACATATGTAATATATATCATATTTGTATTCTAATACATTTCTATGTTTATCGTAGTACACTTATCTTTATAATATAATATTCTGAAGCATGTGGAACATATATGTGTGGAAAAATAAAATCGACCATTGGACAGCGCAATTTTCACACACTCACGAAATTATATATATATATATATA